AACGGAAAGCCAAAGGTTATTTTATCAAACAACAATTTTACAGTCAATAATGATGTTTGTAAAAATTATAATAATTAATGAGAAATCGATAATAGCAAACATTACTTACAAAATAAGTATTTTACCTATCTATGGTGTTTGTATGGACTAATGATTCCTTTTACTTGATGACTGCCTGATTTCGAACTCCAAATACAATACATTCGATTGAGTTCATATAGTTCTTATTGGATAAATTGCATTATTCTGGAGATTCCTAGTTCGTATAATAAATTCAAATACTTTTATTCATCTGATTGGCGTCGCAATGGAGCCTGCGATCTAACAGTCGAACATTCATTCAGATTGTGAAGCTTTTGAAGATTATTTGGAAAGTTTTTAAATCTGGAGCATGACCAAGAAAGCTGCGGAGGGTTATAAAATTGTGGTATATTTCCTCAAATTCATTGAAAAAGAAGCCTACAGTTTATTAAAAGCTTTTGCACTTCCGGAAAAGTATATCTCACTTCCTTATGCAACAGTTAAGGAACTATTATTAAATCATGTAAAGTGCACCAGTTTCGTATGTCGTGAGAGAGCAAAATTTCATAAGATTATTCTCCAGAATAACCAGAAGGTTAGGGAATCCATCCTCGAATTGCAAAAACAAGCTCCCAAATGCAATTTTGGTGGTCAACTTCATGTGCAGCTGCGGGGTCGACTAATATCAGAAATCGACATACCAGGTCTGGAAAGAGAGCTTTTAAGAATACTGAACTGTTTCTGTCAAGATGCTAGAATTGTATGTATCAACTACGAAGCAATGAATGAACTTGATATCCAGTCGTTTATATTTCCGAATTCTTTGCTCAGTAGCCATAGTGAAATACACTCTCAGGATCGATCAAACTCGCGTTTCTTTCATAGTGATCCCTATTCTCGTGAAAAAGTAAAAGGTGATTCAAACAGAAGTTACAAAGCGGACCAAAAAGGTGACCGCAAGTTTTGTAAGTGTTTATCCTGTGGCAAATTCCATTCTCGTAATTTATGTGTATTTCGTTATGCTAAGTGTATTAAATGTTGTGAGATTGGACACATTTAGTCACGATTCAAAAACTACTGTCCATTTTGCGTCAAGTAGTACTAAACCTTGTGAAGAAGATACCATTAATTCAGGTGTCACTGATAATCATTTATCTTTATCTACCATTTTTAAAAATTAATGTTCGTATTCAAGGGCAACTATGTATGTCCGTTAGTATATTCCATGAATTTATTGTTGACACAGGCAGTACAGAGTGCATTACTTCATTTAATAATTTGAAATATTTAAATCCTAACAAGGTAAGACCGGATGAAGTCTCAATATTAGGGATTACTGGACACATACTGCCAGTACGAGGATGCTGTGAACCGCTAATAAGAGATGATAATTCTTCATACATGTCTTGTAAGCTTTTAGTTAGTGAAACAGGACTGTCAACACTGTGTTGAAAAAGATTAGAAAGGTTTAAAGAGTTATCGATATTATTTTCTAGAGAAGATTCTGATGCGTGTGCTAGGTGCAGTGCAGGGATGGGGATTCAGCCTATGAAACGTCAAGTACAGGGTGATCCAACCATTTTTAAAAGACGAACAATTCCCTATGGTCTTCCAGAAACAGTACATAAGACATTGAACAATTTGTGTGCGAAAGGTATAGTTGAACCAACTTAGTCTTCAGCATGGAGTACTTCTATTGTTAATCCCTTGAAGTCGAGTGGCAAGATCCCTAGAATACGTGGTGACTATAGATTAACACTGAACTCCCGTTTATTAAAACATTCACGACGGTAAAAGCTGAAGCCATTCTAAATCAGAACCATGGCTCTAAAGTGTTTCGACAGTTGACCTACAAGTAGCTTATCTTCAAATCCCTTTAGAGCAATTAACACCCCGTTTGGTCTGATCAAATACAACTTCCTTCAACTTGGTCTTAGTTGTTCTCTAGCCATATTTCAGGAAGTGAGTAATAAGGTAGTTAGTGATCTTGAAGGTTTTGAAGTTTATCAAGATGATCTAATTGTTCATGGTTCTAATAAGGTAGTTCATGACCAGAGATTTATTGCTTTATTGCGTCGTTTAATTGAGAACAATATGACAGTGAATGCAAATCAGTGCTCATTTTGTGTATCTAGTTTTGAATTTCTTGGATACCTAGTTGATGGTAATGGTTTTGGACCAGATATAAAGCTTTTTGCCACATTGACAAATGTACTATCCAATTCATTTAAATGGAGTGAGGAACAAAAGTCCTGCTTACGAGGTCTACTGAGGTTTCTTCAAAGTGATGCTGTCCTTTGAACTTACCTAATGTACATTCTGTACCACTTGTGATGCAACATCTGTGGTTATTGGCGCCGTTTCGGAGCAGGGAGGTAGATCAGTTATCTGCGTTTCATGCAAACATACTGTTGCTGAACAAGGTTATTCACAAACTCAGCGAGAAACACTAGCTGTGTTTTGGACTGTCAAAAGACTTCATAAATATTTATTCGGGAAGAAATTCACTATTGTTACTGGTCATGAAGCTTTAAAGTTCATTTATCACCCTGAAAAATCATTAGTACGTTTCTCAGCTGCTATGGTTCAACGATGGAATGTTGCTTTGAGTGCTTTTGACTATACGATTCAGCACAGAAGTGCCAAAAAACCAACATGTTGACTACATATCTCGATAATCAATACAAGAATAGCCTGTTGATACTTGAGACTGTAAGTGCAAACTTTACCAGTGACATGTCCAAGTCTCATTACAAAATTTCGTCGATACCTCTGTTGTATACTCAGTGTCATACTAAAAGGCTTGAATGATAGTCTGAAACGTAGATTTCCAATATATTTTTCAAAGTGGGATGAGTTATCCACTACTCCTGATAATATTTTGTGTAAAAATAATGGTGTTGCTATTCCTCGTTCATTTCGAGCATCTGTCTTTGACGATCTCCATAGTTTGCATTAGGGCGTCTAGAAAATAAGTTTTTTGTCAAAAGCTCACATGTTGATGGCTGATAACAAATGCATATATATGTCTCACGACAAACAATTGTGGAAGATGTCATATGTCGAAGATCATTCTTCGAAGTAGGCTACATAGCCAGTATCGTCTGAGGCCTGGCAGAGAATTCATGCAGACTATTGTGATTCATTTCTCAGCAACTAGTATGCACTGGTGATCATTGATTCTTTTACAAAATGGCCTAAATATTTTTTCACAGCTTCAAATACTGACTTTACGATCGAAGCGCTAAGAAAGAGGCTTTGTCGAGAAGGGTTCCCCAATAATGCTGACGACTGATAATGGCTTCCGTTTTGCGGCGGATGCGGTCAGTGCTTGGCTGAATAGTATAGGGTGCAAACACCCGTTCGCTGTTCACATGCGCTCTTGCTCTAACGGTCAGGCAGAAGATTTTATCAGGACATTGAAAACTGTCACTAATTTCATTAATGCTTCATTGGTTAATAAACTGGAGAGGGTAGTGGATACATTTCTACTGCAATATAGAATTTTTAAACAATTGTTAAACAACAAAGAAAGAGACTCCATCAAAATTATTGAAAGGAAGGTTTCTTCGTTCGATTGTCAAGTGTTTGTAGTCTGAAAAGTTAAATATTATTGTGTAAGTGATCTTCGACCAGCCCCGGGGATTGCGATGAAGAATTTTGAAAAGTCTACGGTGGGGATTATAGATATCAGTGATTTGAGTACACACGGCCGATATGTTGATCGAAAACAAGTCTAGGAACCGGGTGAGCCCATTCCGACTTTGGCTGTTAATTCTGATACTAATGAGTACATTCTAGATCGTCAAGAGTCTATGTCCAATACACAGACGGAAAGATACATGATGAACCTAAGGAGAAGTAAAATCGTTTATAGAAACTTGTATTTTAATTCAAACTGTGATGGTTGTGGTATTTGTATGAACAAATGATTCCTTTGCACCTGCTTGCGCGTTAATTGCGAATTCTAAATAAGTGCTCATATCGTTCTTATCGGTTAAATTGTACTATTGCGGGGATTGTTAGTTCGTATAATAAATTCAAATGCTTCTAATAATCGCATAATCCTAACACAGATCCCCCATTTTGTCCAGAGGTAACACTAGTATGCAAAACGAATGACGGAAAAAAGGATACACATACACAAAATATAACAAGTGAAACTCAAACATATGTAGGAGTGATATTTTGTGGAATGAAATTCTGCTTGTAGATGTATGTGTATTGCGGAATATGACGAGCGTGTCAGTGATGTACAGTCTGTTAATATTCAGCGTTATGTGTATGTAGTTCAGCACCGCAGAAATAAAAATTCAGTCAACCATGATGTCTTAGGTTGATATTGAAGACAACATACGGAAGTATTTGTGAACCCATGAATGAAAATTTAAATTGTTTATCTTGCTTTTTTCAACTAATGTACAGCAACCCCAAAACTCACTCGTTTATGATCATGAAAAATTTCAACAACGCAAGAGATGGCGAGACCTAAAGTTTCTAAACTAAGCATCTGGAGAAGGAGAAGAGTCGCACGCAAGCTATGCCGAAACATAACTACGATGATTGACCGGCCATATTCAGCTAATAGTTTCTGTAACAGCTAAAAAACCAATATCAATACCCGGTGTCTATGAAATGATTAGTTTTAGAGAGCTGTTTACTACCACAAGCTGGAATGCTTTGAAAGTGTTATTATCACGAGGAGTTGTAATCGGCGCTTACTATCTCCGCTGTGTTCAATACCGTACATCTTGCATATCATTTCCTTCCTCAGCTCTTCGCTTCTCGCTCCTTTCCCGTTCACTCTCCTAAGCCTCTGAAAAACAAAAACAACTGGGTTATAGAACTGTTCATCATACGATTCCGAACACAAGAGTTTAACCAAAAATACCTTACCGGCTTTTTGTACAGAAACAAAACTATTCATTCAAAATAGACTTACAAAAATCCAGGTCCTACTACATGTTTAGTAAGCTAAGAAAATTGCAGCTTAATAGTTAGATTCACTTGACCTAGGGTTTTTGAAGGCCTGAGTCATTCTTTTAATATCAAGACACTAGTACAGGGAGCTCACTGGCGAATTGTACACTGCATCAGTACGCATTTCAAATCTATGCGTTCCTCAGTCTTGAAGGATCTTCTAGGAAAACTAAAGGGGGTCGATTATGTTATTCTAGAGTCTGTTGCATTTGAAAAATTTAGTTCATGTCTGTTGTGTTCTGGCGTAAAAAACGTATTCCCTATTTATGACGTCACTGAGGTAGAAATTACTGTAATAATAATAAATATTACAGGAACTAGTCAACAAAACCTTCATTTTCATCGTATCCTCTCCATTTACAAATTCGCTCCTTGAACAGATTACCTCTGTTGTGTGTGAAAATGGAAAGCGTTCAGGTTCTCTTATATTGTCCACTGTAGAAGCTACTGGGAATTGTGACCTTTTCAAGTTACCTCATGTGAACGAATATCCGGAGTATGATGTGCAGTATTTGTCTAAAGACGTAACTAATTTACACATTAATTACTTACGTTACCAGAACAAACTGCTTACTTGCAAAATAGAGTTCGTTTTTAGTACTCCACGAGATGCTTTCAGAAATTTGTATGTCCTTCCAAAATCGCACGCTTTACTTCCCGTAAGTATGCAAGTTATTATAGAGATGCTAGGCAGGGTTTAGAAAATCACTGTCCTGCGTTTTATGAAATCAACAGCATCTTCTGGTCTTTGAAGGTAAGTTGCTACTCTTCAGTATATTTTATTAACCAGGTATATCACTTAGTTTGATTTACTATTCAAAATCTCCCGTGCGATATTCTATTTTTAATTTAATAAACGAATTTTCTGAACCTAAACTTCATGGGTTTTGAGAATATTAGATAGTTTGTAAATGGTAGTAACATGGTTCCATGGTATCATAGATATCAGATTTCTAGAAACTAAGGTTGAAGTAATGCTCAACTTTTCGTATTCCCACTTGCAAAAGATGGTTTTTTTAGCTTAGGATGTTCGGAAAATGTGCGTTATCACCATTGTCTCTAGTGAGACACTCAAATTCTGTGGTAATGTCATGTGAGTGATGATAATGTTGGTCACTGTATTTGTCTTTTAGAGTATCATGTGACTAGTGAAGCTAATTTCAAACACTAACCAAAACAATTTGTACATGTTAGACGCACCTACGCAAAACACTTGGTTCCCGAGATATAAAAATTAATAACAAGCTCATAGGAAAAGAAAATATATAATTATCAAAAGCTAAGACGCAGTTGCCTTTTTATTTAGCATCAGTTTAGAAAGTATTTGCTTAAGTTTTGCTCGTGCTAACATATCACAACTTCCTAACTTTGGTCTCAGTAAGCACACTTCAGTGACTCGCGATGTTATTAAACATCAATCAGTCAGTCATCTACAACTTAGGACCAGGCACATATATGTATCAGTCCAAGTTACTATACTTCATCAGCACAAGATAAACACCAAATTCACAGAGTCAGTTACTTCAATGGTAGTAATATATAGAAGAAATATTGCGCATAAGGATGTAATACAAGAAGAAAGAATTAGTTCGTAGAAAGAGAGGTATAAAATGATTTTGATCTCACGGTTTAAAGAGAGACAAAGTGTGTATACACCCACTCCACTGTGATCGATTCTGAGACATGTCACACAGAATCTCCAACCATTGAATAAGATAGTCGCGCGGACCCCAACCAAGTAGTCTGCATCTATCAACGTGGCTCATATCCGAAGTTAGTGACTTCAAGAATTGATGCCACGTTTTGATTTGGCCGCCCCTAACTTTCTTCCACCCATCTCCAACGCTAGTCAGCATTTCGCGCCATGGTAATCGGTGGCCGCACATGCGGATTATATGACCCAACCTTCTCAGTCGATGTAGATTCATAACCTCATCAACTGGTTTACCATCATACCCTAATAACCTGCGTCTAACTTCACTATTACTTACCCAGGGATCCCGGCTGATGCGAGCAATATTCAATACATCTGTGACCAAATACTAGTAACTCGCGAGTATCTTCTACCCTTAATGGCCACGTTTCTCAGCCGTAAAGTAAAACAGAACTACCTGCCGCGCAACATACTCGTTCTTTAATTGATAGATGGATATCTCGCATTCGCCAAATGTGACGTAAGTTGGCAAAAGCCAAACGGGCTTTTTTGAATCCGTTAAGAGATTTCATCAGATACCAACCCCTTATGGATGACAAAAATTCCAAGGTAAGTGAAGTTGTTGACGCGTTCGACTACTTCACTCCCTATATTTAGTTCAAATGCTGACGCAGGCCAGTCCTAAGGGTAAACACATTCCGAACATCCTGGCATTGCTGTTTAGTGCTACAAACAATAGCTAATAACAGTTCTGGTGTCCTTTTTTCTTGGTTGTGTTCGAATTCGGTCAGCATTCTTTAATAATCATGTTGTTGTTACCATTATTATTATTTTTCCCCTTTTGTTTATTCACAACATTCTCACTCCGTTTGCTGCAATTAATTTCCTGATGCCCAACGGTATTAAGCGTTTTCATACGATAAATTCATAGTTGAAAAATAAATCTCGCGGTTAATCGGTTGTTTATAACTGACTTTTCCTATTGTAGATTGTCGAAGAAGTTTATTCATTTGGACAGACTAGTAGTAAAGTTGCTGCACTGTTTGCTGATTTTCCTGCTGCAGTAAACAGAAAAAAAGTAAGATTTTTGTTTACTAGTTTTGTTCAAACCTTCTGATTATATGCAAACAATCCTTTGGAGATAACTATTATTCAAATACGTTCAGTCTGCACATTTTTCCTATGGTCTAAAATTGTTTTACTGTTATATCTTTATGTTATGGTTAACCATAAAGGTAAACAACTTTTTTTATCTTCTTGTAGTCTCTTCATGATAGTGCTGAAAAATGCACAGCTTCAGTTATTTTCATTGATGAATCAATTATTTGTGACCCGATTGCATGTTTAGAGCCGTATACAAGATCAAATCATTTATTAGATACCATTTTCGCTGAATTATCTCCTGACGGTCACCAAATCAATGTATCGTGGGAACACTTATCCAAGTGGTAAGAAATTTCATGCTTCTACTTAATAAAATAATGCTTACAAACAACGTCCATTAGAATGATTATCTTTAAAAATTACATCACACTTCTTAGTTTCTTTAATTCTCGAGATGAACGACCCTAAAAACATTGGAATAGTACGTATACGTGGAAAAGCCAATCTATCATTATGTTTGAGACCAGTTTTTAACTGCATCAAGTATTGCTTTTATTCAGTGATCTTCCTTAAAATGCAAATCATTATTAGGAGACTTAGACTCTCCCATATTACTTAAACCAAGGTCAATAACTGTGTAGGTGAATGCTATTTCTTGGTCTATTTTACCTTATCCATACACTGAAACTAGTATCGCTATTAGGAAGAACTGGGCATATGTGACGTGTTAACTATCTTTACTGATCCAGGTCTAAATCTTCGTTAGTTGAACTCAACTGTTACCGGAAACCCTGATATTGACTTGAATACCATTTAATCACTTATCCGGCTACACACAGGTGTTGATACTTGAAACAATCTGCTAGTCCATACCTATTGAATTGGCTAACAAGTTCCAGCAATATTCAGTTCTTGGTGGTATTCATATATACCAAAAAGGATTACTCTGTTATTTTCATAAGCAGTTACCGTCTTTTTAATCAACATTCAAATCATTTCAACAGAATCAAGTGTACTTTTTGCTGTAGCCAAAGTTCAGTCTAGTTGTCCTTAATATTGCTTTGTATAGTTCAGCGTCGTTATGGTCTTCGATCCGATGCAGTTACGATATTCGTTTCCAGAGACTGATCAGGCCCACTATAAAGGTAAGAAGATTGAAGTGTGTTGGAAGCTTTTAATTGCTAAAACTGAACTGTGGTGTATACAGATCATGGTTGTTTATATATCTGTCCCTAGCGGTCCAGATAATGACATGTGAGGTGAGACCATGACTAGGTGTTTAACCCACTGCTCCCATAGGGACTCCTCATTTTTAGTCCCTCAGCTATCATTTAGCCTTAAGATAGGTGTGATAGCAAATAAAAAGAAAACATATATGATCTTTGCAAACAACTACTTTACAGTTTATTTAATTGCCTTTTGCCTTACTGTGGTTAAACAGTTCGTAACTTTCTCTGTTGCACTTATGCGTTTGCTCTTCTAACCTTGGTTCACTGCCTTATGCACTTAAATTTCACCTTATTAGAAAGCTTTCAGCACCAAAGCTTTATAATTAAAGCAGGCACATTGCTGATAATATTATCTATGATGACAATTAAAGTGTGGGGGTGATCTAGAAAACTTCTCGCAAAAGACAAGAAAGGCTCAGGAAACACAAAGAAGCATTTTATCCAATCAGCGTGCAGTTTCTGATTGGCTGATTACTATACTGCTACTATGTTTAGTAGCATTCCAAAATTTTCGGGAAACCCAAGGACATCTAAAATACTACAAAAACCCTATATTTTCTGTACTAAAACGAACCTTTGAAGTAAAATGCTTCTCGCATATTTTGCGCCTTTTCTCTCGTGTTCAGGTCGCTGTGTAGTTCTAGCTTAGGGGTTACGAGAATAGCTTAGGAACCGAGTATAGCGTTCAATTAGCAAGACTTATCATAAAGTTTTCCTAATTTTAAATCAACTGGCTCAGAAAACGCAATAACATTCATTCGTATCACAATTTATCTCAATTGCTCCAATCGCAGTGAGTGAATTTTCGGTTCAAATCACATTCTACCTCCTTTCAGACAAGCATTCCAATTTAGGACTCCTAGTACATAAACGTTTATATGAGTACTGGGTTCAATTTATTATTCTAATCGATTTATACTTGTTTCAATTCTTTTTAGCCCATCTGAAAATAAAAGCCACGGGAAAATTTTATCACATGACCTGTGTACGGATTTATTGCAGTCAATGGATGTATCTGTAAATCCCTTACTTGATGATTATTTCATGTTGAAAGAGCATGTAAGTAACGTTTTTATTTGAACTGATCATTATCAGACATCTGAATGCACAAATTTCTCACTAGAGAGTAATCGATGTCAATAGTAACCCCCACTATTACTGAGGGATTGAATGTTTTGGCCTCATATTGCATTTCGAGAATCGGCTTTTTGTTATTATTTTCAATGAGCATGATTCAGTCAGTCCTAGGCAATGTATAGCCTACCACAATGTGGATCAGTTCAATTTGTCACACCATGTCAATACAACAAGATTAAACTATTAAAACAAGTGATAGATTAGTAGTAGTAACAGTCTCACTAAAAGTAGGGAGAATTAAGTATAGATGTGGTTCAAAAAACATGAGCCCGCCTAATGAAAATTGAGTTTTTCAACATAAAGTCTAAAAAAGACGGTAAATGCATCTATCACTTCACAACTGATTCCGAGCGATGTCACTTAATGTTTTTTACGATAATCAACCAGTCTCCGATCAAGTAACCTGTTCCTACCAATACAACTTAGCCCAACATTCAATTATTTCATGGGCTGCTGCCATGTTCTTTTTGTCTATCCGCCTCTAGTGTTATCCCAGCATACTCCACCACCAAATATCGCTCGCTGAGGTAGTATGTGGTTGGGGATACGTAACACATATAACCAATGCGGTCGAGGAATCTTATTTAATTACTTGAACACATGAACATTGGTACGAGGAGCAACCAAATATGTTTACACCACACCATAAGTATGAGGTGAAAAAGAGAAAGAAAAGTGAGTGCAATAAAAAAGTACAAAAATGAATTGGAATTAGTGTGTGATGGTGAAATAATAATAATAACAATAATAATGGGAGAAGCAGTTTAGTTCGGGAAAGTATAACCAGAAAGAATTCCTTCAGTTAAATAAGTTATTCACTTTTGTGAAGAAAGTAAAAGAACATTACAGATGGATTGCCACCGGCTTCTATTCTGAGCTATGTCTGATAACGTCTCAAACCACTGTATTGTACCATCCCTAGGATTCTTACCATGAAGTCGTGGAGTGCCAACAGATGCCCATCCTATACGGATTTCTTTGATGCCACGACACCATATCATACACTAACTACCTCTGCTTTATCCAACTGGTCCCAGCGTTGGAAAGTAATGTGCGATGTGGAATTTGCTGGGACAACATTCGTAAGATATGTCCAAGCAACCGAAGTCGGCATTTCAAGATAGTGACACCAATTGAATGATCTTTTCTGTGCCCAAACACACGTCGCCGAATTTCTGCATTACTAACATGGTGTTGCCACTGCATGTCAGCAATCTTCCAGAGACAACATTGGTCAAACATCGAAAGTCTTCTAACATCCTCAACTTGGGTAAGCCAGGTTTCACAAGTGTGTAGCAAAACTGCTCTCACCGACGCACTGTAGATCCACGAGGAGTAACAGGAGTAAGTAGGTCACAAAAAAGTATAACTATAAGTTAAGTACATAAATCTTTACTCAGTCGTCATCCACGTTGGTCACAGATTAACTCTCTCCCCAAACTCCAGCTATTTCAGTTTGGACAGTGGGTAGTATTAATAGCTCTCATGAACCAATAGTAGTCTGGAATGTGAAATTTTCAAATCAGTCAGTTACATTTTCATTTGTTTTTATAAGTGTACTTGTAAATCAAATTTGCCAACTTATATTTCGAACCATTTAATTCAATACAATCTTACTACTCTTTATCATCACCAACTTTGACGTGTAATGGCTAGAATCGAACTGAGTTTGTATACAGAGACTAGATTAGATTGTTTTCTATGCTATCAGGATAATAAAACGCAGTGAATAACAACTTTGGGTGAAGACTTATGCTATGTCTCAACTCTATTTTTTCTTGACAGGCATCACTCTCTAAAATCCAACAAAACTTACTAAATATCTCTGAGTTGATACACTATGAGTTACCTGAATTATCTGAACCACCAAGAACCAAGGCAAAATGGGCTGATCTGTTACGAAATCAAATTAAGGAATTATTCATGTAAGTTATTTAAAAAACAGTGTTTGGCTTATTGACTTTATTTTCCTCTACTCATCTGCTGACCAAAACGAAATGAGCGAAGCGGAGTTCCGAAGTAGGACCTAGTGGTTAAAAGTGAAGAGCTGGCTTACAGATTTAGGCTCTCTTACTTCCTAGTAAGTTGGTACGAATCTCATCCTGCCTTCTTCAGTTTGGACAACCAATCGGTATCATTAGCCCCCACACTTAATATGTGGCTTAAGGCCAAGTAGAGAAATCTACCTGGTGAATGAGCTAATAATAGTAATAATGATAAAAACCGAGTGCCTTAAATATAAGGCTAGGTTCCGGTCCTAGGGACACCAGTTAGAGAGTATAGTATTTCATTTTAACCAAACGATTGAATGACGCGTCAAATCCAAGAATCAAAACAAAAGATCTGTTTGCAAAAAACTATACTATTAATGGTAAGATAACATGAACAAAGTCTACAAACTTTAAAACATGAATCGTCTAAGGTGTTAGGGATGCTTTAAAGCACAATCAACGACAAGATGTATTCTTTATGCAGTTATCTTAGAAACAATTATCAGAACTTACTATAATAATAAGTAACAGTATGTCAGTCAACAAATTGAAATGAGGGTTATACAGTATCAATTGTGAAAATTGTTAGACATTAAGAAATTCCTCATGAACAAAAAATCAACCGAAGAAAAGCTACTAAGAATGGTAAGTGAGAAAATTACAACAATGAAATAGATTCAACATTCGAAAATACATATAAGTACTTACAGTTATCAACCAAGAAATATCATGAGCTACGCGTTCTAAAATGATTGACGATAACATGAGCTATTGAATTTTAGCGAGTAGTATGGTACACTATATAAGAAAGGCGAAGGAAGAAATGAAGTTGGACGCGAACATAGTTAATTAATATATACATATTTCCAAGAAACTAGTACAGTTATCTGGTTTCATTAAACATCTGATCTGTCTATTCATGTATAATTCTTGTTGTATTTATCACAGAATTTGTTTCTAAATTCTTTTGCTTTCCACTCGAGACGAGAGAGGGCATACATTTTAAATGAAAGATTTGCACACTTCTTGTTGATATGCTGTTCATGTTCGTTCCTTTCCCCTCTATACATTGCCATCATTTGTAACACTTTGATTCTTGATTAATTTTTTTCCAGACCAATTTGTAAATCGGGTCGTTTCGACCTTCTAAATCATATTCAGTTAACGTTAGCTGTAATTAATGCATTCGATTCAATTACAAGTCGCAATCGATATCATCATAATGTTCACGATGATATGATTAGTTTGGAGAAGTTATTGGTGAAGTTTGAACGTTCTTTATTGGTTGCCAGTCAGGCTGATGCTAAACTTATTCAACAACTTCATAAACCAACACATTGTGAGCCGATTCTATTAAATGCTTACAAAGAAGCCATGTAAGTTACCGCTTGTATTTTTAAAATGTTTTTGTGAACCAAAACATACCACAACTATTGCTAGTTATTTATTTGAGCTGGTTTTGGATATTAGTGTGAAGATGTAGTGTTCAGGACGGGTTAAGATCAGATGCTTGAACCATTCGAACTCCGAGTGTTGCTTGAGGTAGAGGTGCAAGGAAGGTTCTCACTTAATGGTTGTCCACACCTCAGAAGACTACTTCTCCTTGGTGTGCTTGAACAGAGGTGGTAGTGATATTGATGACCTGGGAACGTGACAGCAGAGTCTAAGAGACGACTGCTTGAGATCTTTTCAAACCTCTTCATTCTGTCATGAGAAGACCGTATAGCCGGAGATGCTGGTTGTCTGGGGGATATACCTTACTGCCGTCACACCCCTGTACTATTGTTAGTATTACTTCTCTTGGACCATTCGTTTTCTATTTTTAGTTTTATCGCTCTCCAATTAACCTGCTTAGTATAGTCGGACTGAAAGAAAGAAATGTTTCAACCATTATAGCTCCATTAGGTCATCACGATATACAAGTCCAACCATCACCTTAAGGTAACAGCCATAGTTGGGTACCGTTGACATCTAATAAATATTAAACAACTGTCTTTATTTAGCGTATGACTCTTACCAACAATCGGGACCTTCAGGTTTTACTGTAAACGTGTTGCATTTAAACTCAGTGGGAAACCAATAGTTCATATTTCTAACTTGAGTCAGTTCTTGATGTAACCGTGATCCCCTCCCGTTGATCGTGATGACTGTCTGGCTCATGATATGTTACACTCTGTTGTCAATTCACTTTTTAAAAAATCGACAGTTTTCTCTTTACAAAAGTAGTCGTGCAGTACAATTCAGTTCATGTGTTTTGTTATCCTTTACCTATATATTTCCAATCTCTTCACTGTTATGGTTGCTTCTTTTCTAGAAAATTACCAAGTCTTGATGAGATGTTTCTCTTCGTAATACACACAATAAGCTTAGTACCTATTCATTCACCTCTCTCAGAATCAATTTGGTCAGCTATTCGAGTAAGTAGCATTTAATGAATTGGTTTTTAATTGAATAGAGTTTCGTGTAAATTGGTTTGACTTTTAGGTTACACTTGTCGCTGATTAGTCTTAGTTGGCGGTGGAGTTACACTGAATACTATAGAGCACTAGTTATGACTATTTTCTAAAACCTTGAGGATTCATCTCAAAGTAAGTCACTAGTGTACATACAATTATAGTATTGATGATGAGGTTCTGTGGAGATTAGTATAATTTGCTAGTAAGTCATGAGTATACATTGATGATGAGTCCCATGCTTGAAAAGAACAACTGTCCAATGCCTCCTGGTTTTCAGTGTTACCCCTGCTGAGATCAATGAGTGACGAATTATTACGAATATTATCGAATTTAGCCACTCTAGTAATGTAGTTGAACTTGGCAACATTTAAGTTCAGAATACTGAAATAATAAGGAAGATTTATAGCTCAAGACGAGGATTTTTGTAGTGTCTCATTCTATTAAGTGAATGGTGTAACTACAAGGCTTTTATTATCTTTCTAAATACAGCATTATTAGTGTTTGATTCAAGTAGGAGTGAGCTTTTCGATTATTCCGCTAACACTAAGTTGGTTCGTTCTGATTATTATTTTTGCTTATAATCTTCACGTATCATTGTATTTCTGTCGACTGGTTTTTTATTGACCTCCGTCCATCTGATTGCTCGACATCTTCCTTATAGAGTGATAAATTAGATCAGTGCCAAAATAAGGTTAAGTCCAAACGTTAGTGCTACTGTGGTGTGCGCTACTTATATTGACATAAGTAGTATATGTTAGTCGTGAACAGGTCTGGCAGCAGAGAGACAAGAGGATCGAACAGTAACGAATGGGACATGTTGCAATTTGTATGAAAATGCAAGAACAATGAAGTCTGGGTCATTTTGAGACAATTGATGGACATTTTGCAAATTAGGCATTTACTTTATGATTGTTAGATTTTATTAATAAGTCCTGTAATTTTGTGTTGAATACATTGGATTGTCCCCACTGGTGTTCGTCTTCACTACACTGCAAGCTTAATTATACAGCATCAAAAGACAGAAAACTTGTCTTTTACAAAAAGAGCCTCTCATATTATGTACGAAATGCAATATTACTTTATAACTTGTACTCACAGTTTGTTAGTAACCTTGAGAAACATAGGGTAATATAGCATACCGAAAGACAAGTTATCTAATGAGGATAATAAACTCTAAGATTTTAGGTCTATGACAGGATTTCGTCGTATAAAAGTTATAACTCAAATTACACAATTTGAAATTTTCGAATATTCTTAACAAAAACAACTTTTGGTAGCCCTTAGTATTTCCTCGAAAAAACCTAAAGACTACAAGAATGCTTAATGTGCTTCGTCCATTCAATGTTCTTTGGAATCCGTCAAGAGAATCATAGAAAACAATGTGTTATATGTCAAATCCTTATTGAATACTTAGCAGTTATATCACTAATTCCAATGTGTTTTCAGAAGTCCTTAGAATCTAAGGGTTATATTTGAACGTGTAAATGCCTTAGTTTTCTATACATTAGTTAACCTTCGACGAAAGCTTTCGCACTCCACACCTTTTGTTTTCTGCACGGAGTTCGAGTGTTCAACTATTAGACATCACTAATAAAAAATGTAATTTGATAATCATCATCTCGATCAACGTAAAAGTGGTTTCATGCTGCACATCTACTTTGAACATTGTTTCCAGTTTAACTATCATTGTCAAGTAACTTTTCCTTGCTGTCTTTACCATCGATTCCACAGTTTGACATAATCAAAGTTGATGACTTTTACTTAATTTTCTTCATTACCTAGTATTCTATGAAACGTCTGTAGAATCCCGGAAACAAGCGATTAAAACAAGTTTTGCGAATCTGACTAATTTTCGTCAGTCAGTCATTCATTGAAACAACGTAAAGGGACAACATTAATTCTCCTCAGTAACTGTATGTAGTGTCATGCTAGCTACACATCTGCTTGTAGATAAAAAATAATACTACCTAGTCAAGACACTACTCATAATTCACCCTCACTACTCAAGAACTGTGTGCTTCAACTAATACTAATCACATATATATTAATATCAGCTTCTGTTAGCTTAGTTCTAAAGTCCTCCTACATTATTCCCTCCAGTTTATTTACAACTAGTAATCGTAACATATACTATAGTTCATCATGTTGTATAAAAAGTAATCCAATGATTTCTGCACAATCACCACTGAACAATGAATAGTTAGGATTGAAAAACTTGGACACTTTAAGGGTGGATGTCAGATTAATCTTCAATTGGGTCATTAATTTTGTGACCTGCGGTCACCGGAAGTTGATACTGATACGCTACCATTTTATGCACGAACCTAACCGGCTAGTGGATTGAAAAAAATAGTCCGTCAGTCATCTACAACTTAGGACCAGGCACATATATGTATCAGTCCAAGTTGTTATACGTCATCAGCACAACAAGATGAACACCGAATTCACAGAGTCAGTTATTTCAATGGTAGTAATATATAGAAGAAATATTGCGCATAAGGATGTAATACAAGAAGAAAGAATTAGTTCGTAGAAAGAGACGTATAAAGTAATTTTGATCTCACGGTTTAAGGAGAGATAAAGAGTGTATACACCCACGCCGTTGTGATCGATTCCTTTTTTTGCTTTCGTTACCCACCACTGCTCACGGTCGTTTTTTAGATTTTTTGTTTATCTAGATCTGATTTGTTTCTGCTCTTTATCGTGTTCGGAGCCTGATGGGATAAGTTTACGAGGATCTATCAGTGCAATACACTTAGCAGACATCCGCTGATTTTTTGGTTCAGATCACTAATATATGTCGCTGCTGTTCCCACAGCTGTTTGTATATCTTTTCAAGCAACCTACGGGTCAGCTTCGTTTTCAGAATTGCCGAAGTGTGACCTCAGTTGTTCCTGGAATCTGTTTTTGGCTTTCACGTCACTGAGTGCAAGTCTAATGGATCTTCTTAATGTGGTTTTTCTGTATCTGGTGAGGCGCAAGTAAATGCGTGCTCGTGTTAGAGCATGATCAGAGTTTTAATATGTATTCGAGAACGAGCGGCAGTTTTCGATCAAACCTCTCCAACAATGACTAATTGTAATATGATCTATTTGAGTCCATCGTTGGTTTGGCACAGGAGGTCGCCATATTAGACAATGTCTCTCCTTATGCTTAAAAGTAGTGCTTGTTAGAAGTAAACGATTGTCTGAGCACAGTTGCAGCAGATGTTCACCATTATCTGTTCGCTGAGTCGAAATACTAAAATTCCCACCTAAATGTCTTTCTGTTTGGTTTAAGCTACCTACTTGGGCACCTGCTACGAAAGCTGACAATTGAGGAAATCCAAAGGCGTACTAATTCAAGTATTTAGTAATTGTATAACAGAATTATAAACAATAATTTCAGGTAGAACAGTTCCAAAACTTCAGCTTTGCTCAATTTTCGCCCTGTTATAAAAGTATTTAGTTACCTATTATTATGTACTATGATATTATTTGACATTTTTTGTTAGGAACTTTTTACAGTTGGCCGATCAAAAACTGCTGAAACTTCTTTGCATCAAAGAGTTCCAGGTAAATATTAATTATTTTCAATTTGTCAATTAATTATTGTGGTTTAAAATTCCATCACAATTAGTTTCATTAAAATTTTTGTATTGTTTTGTATATATGTTTGTGTGTAGGCTTAGCTGTGTCTACTAGTAACTGAATGGTATAGGAAGATACTTATTTGTTTGTAGTTTGTTCAATACAAAGTGGGATTATAACAATTTTAATATACAGAATTTAAAATACATCCATGTTGTTCTTTTAAAAGCTCCCCTACTTTTCGACAAATATAATTGTTCCATTTTTATTTCCTTTGACAAGACATCTCTGAAAGTCATTGAAAATGAGAAACTTCAGTTCTCTTTTAATTGTTTCACGTATTGCTAGAATCGTATGCGCAGACAACTTTTTCAAAAAATTATTTCATTAACAATTATGCGAATAATGAGTTGCTAATCAAAAAGAATAATACATCTCTCATTCTGAATGTTTTCGCCCAATCTAGCCATGGATTATCCTTTTATTCTTCATAGAGTTCAATCACAAACATGCGATTCACTGAAAAAAAGACTTCATAGGCAATCCTCAACATTTCCTGAATTTTTAAAAGTTACCTAAGTTCTTGGATACATTTGGTTGTGAGATATCCGTATATACTACAGAAGTGAATCATAGAATCGAAACTCCCCTATACGGCTCATTCCCAATAGTCAATGATATCAGGAACTGATATTATGCTTTGGTTTGACTGCCATCTTTTATTTTGCTAATCTACTCATATGCTAACCACTACTTTGATTTCTAGATAGCCAATATTTGTGCGAGCACATGTATAACATGTTATCATTAACGATCTTGAGGCTTCAGAGTGTTCCAGAAAAATTTGTAACCAGTAATCACTCATTTGATAGACAAAATAAATTATCATCAACAGATGTACAATAAAACCATTTATTACATTATTTAAGTCTTTTTATCTCCTTCAAGGTGGTTTAATTCCTCAATGCTTATCACTAAATAATCTTGTTCAAAATATAAAATCATTCCGTCAGAAACGAGCTCAATTGCCTAGTTATAAGTAAGTAGCAGTATTAGTCTGTTGTTAATTTCATAGCTCTTTTTAATATGCAAATAAATAGATTTTCATCATATAAAACTTTTGTACCTGTTTTTGTCATATTTTCATTAGAATGTGATTTTTAGCTGACCATGTGTGTAGTCTACAGATCTAGAATATCAATGTTCTAGTTCACACTCATGTTATCAAATTGATAATCTTTAACTCGATCTAGCTTGATGCTACAGTCCGATAGGATTGCGTTGGTTAATACAGAAAATAAGGTTTATTCAGACAACAAATACGACTTTTCCCTCAATCAGCAGCTTATGTCTCACTGAAATATCAAAGAACTAGTACGCATACCTAACCTGTGACTAAAAAGAATATTACTATTCAACAAACAGATCATTCTTTACATACGATTTTCATTAATCTAAAATTACGACAAAAATGATCTTGATGGAGTTCTGTTCTCTAAGCTGGATGGTTTGGTCGTGGAGCTTCCATCGTTCTTCTGAACGACATCATCAGCACAAACTTCAGATAGAAGTGAAGTGTTTGCATTTCTCCATACGCGTTTCACAGCTTGTTCTGTGCACCTCGATGTTGATTGGTTCTTACTGACCTTAAATTTGTCATTGTTTGCTTCTTTGTTTTGGTTGTCTCCCATTGGTTTGATTTTTGTTCCTATGTTTGTGCATAATTTTCCTGATTGGTTGATAAATTCGATCGATTTCAATGAGCTTGTTGATTACTGATTGACCTGAGTGCCAGGCTTCTAAAAATTCTCTAGTGTTTTTGGAATTTCCTCTGTCCAAGATTTCCACATTTTTCCAATCGAATGAGTGTCCGAAGTTGTCCACGTGTATTGATATAAGTGAAGAAATACCATGGCGTTTGACTGCTAATCGATATTCATGTAGGCGAAAGTGAAGGGGGCGTCCGCTTTGTCCGATGCAGTGCTTTTCGCAGTTGGCACAATTTATTTTGTAGTTGATGTTTTATTTGTCTTCTTTTGTTATTTCATCCTTTGGTTTGCATAGGATTGATTGTAGTGATTTTGTCGGTTTGTGTGCCACACCTATCCCGAAGGTTTTCAGCAGTCTCGTTGAGGTTTCTGATATTCCTTTTATATATGGTAGGGCAATCCTTTTGTTCATTTCTGTGCCTGACTTAGGTTCTGATGCTGTGTGCGGTCGGTATTTTTTGATGAAGTTGATTAGGTAGCCGTTCTTTTGAAATACGTCCTTCAGGTATTTCTCTTCATTTTTTCGTGCTGCAGTGTGTCCTTGCCCTTTTGAACAAAGTATGTACGCAGTTGATTTTGTGAGCTCTTGGGTTGTTGCTATTGTAGTTGAGAATTTGATCTGTATGGGTCGGTTTCCTACACACTTGAGTTTCCAGTTCTCCAGTGTCGATCTTAGTGATTAATATATCCAGGAATGATAGTTCGTTGTTTGACTCCTGTTCCATTGTGAACTTGATGTCATCGAAGACGTTGTTGATCAGCTTGTAAGTGTTTTCCAGCTCATTCTTTTTGACGATGACGAATGTGTCGTCTACATAGCGAATCCAAATTGATCCCATTGGGATCACCAATATCAGGACTGATCGCAGAAGCAGTGATTCAAAGACTAGAAGCCGCGATAATACCAGTGATCAAACCAAAATCATTCAGAAGAACAATGAAAGCTCCACGACCAAACCACCCAGCTCAGAGAACAAAACTCCATCAAAATCATCCACCTGAGCTACAAATCTCCACCATCACAAGAATGATCGAATAGTCTATCCTAATTGGCTCAATTAACAAAGTAAATTGTCCAGTGAGATTACCCACACCATCCTAGGATGAAACGGCTGTTCAATGCTCATGGGTTTTTCATAATGGTGTAATTAAGATCAGTTCGCGATTTAAAATATAAAAACTCGACAATCTCTGTAAATCTTCCTATATCAATATAATAGCATAAATTCAATTCTGGTGCATGGAAATATTTGTCTCGTTGGCTAACAATGTGAAATGTTGGATTCTAACTTTTAAGCATATTTTATCACTATTCATGTGAAAAGTATTTTAATCGATTGTGAGGATCATGTGTTCTCCATCCATGAAAAGCTGGTTTTGATGTTTCTAAAAATTTACCAACTTCAATTTCCACGTCACTGATAGGAACAAATCAAGAATGCTTAAGTTACTACGTATGTAATTCCTGTTTATACAAAGCACATAATCTCACACAATGCTCTAATAATATGCAGCAGTACTTAGAGCATATACACATCTATTATTATTATCATGGAGAAATGGATATCGAAGCACTGAATGGATTTTCCACTTGCTGACCTCAATTTTCTTATTCTTACTCTTTTCCGCGTATGCCACACTACTTATTATTATTCAACAGTTTGAGCTATTTTGACTATTTTTACTACCTAGCAGTCTAATGCAATGATGTTTGTTTGTTGCATTGATCTATTCATCCTATCCATTTATATACGCTTATTCCCATGTTTCATTTTGTTTTCTCTGCTTGAAATAGTGTATTGATTTTCTTTTTCCATGGTGTAGTCTTCCTATTGTAAATCAATCGTCCTATTATGCTTTTGTTTACTTTGGTCTAATTGTTTAGCTTTAAAACATGACAGTTGAAAATGAATCCCAAAATTCTGATGGGATGTAAATGTTTGAAATTACTATTACGTCTCGATTTGGAAACACACATATCCTGTTCGGAAAGATGTTTAATGATAACATAGACTACTAGGTATTAATTAGTACAATGTGATACACAAAAAGGGGTTAGTAAAAAAATGAGTGGAAAAGTTCGACACAAGTTTAAAAGTATTTTTCAAGTAGTGTTTTCAAATTTTAATTGACATCATTGAAATGCGAAACATAGTTTATAGTTAGACTTTTCGCCAATTAAGTTCAAAATCCCTATGTTTACCTTGTATAAATTCCATAATTCTACACTTTCACTGATATTATTTTTTCACCTGTTAATTGTTTAGCAACTTAGTAGGTGTATCACAAGCTCGATATCAACCGTCGTTAGTACAAATGATGAAAGATTTGGTATTAGCCCGGGAAAATCCTTCGGAAGCCAGTCCTGCATTAAACGGGATAGTTCGTAAGCCGTGCACATCTTTATCGAGCAATTGGTTCGGAGAATTAAGGTACTTTTTTGGAAGAATAGCCTCTGATTTTTGTATCGTTAAAATACTATAACAAATTGTAGTATGTCTTAAAATTATTTCGTATTCATGTCACTATTTCTACTACTAAATAAAAGGAAATCCCAAGGAGGAGGGTATGTATGATAATCAAGCAAGTCGATATTGGATAATGACTAGATTATAGACCTTATTCTTGAAGGCAATCAGTGCTGAATATATAGGCTAGTTTTATGACTTTATCTGTACAGAGGGTCTGAGGAAATTATTGGATGATAGCGATATCACCGACAGACCTAAGTTAGATAATGACTGAAAACTAGTGAACACTGGACAAGTTACTTCGTACGTACGGGACTCTTCAGCAGTGTTCATCCACTACCCCACTGGAGACCAAACCTAGGACCTTTTATCTCGCCCATGGGTGCTTAACTTTTAAAACACTAATAAATAGATCAAGTTTTTGTGGAGAAGTCACAAACCCTATATTACAAGCTGGAATGATAACAGTTGATTAGACATTTTTTGTTATGTTTAAAAGTGTCATAGAGTAGAAGCTGCCGTTTGATACTCCTTCAGCTCACTGAAACAAATGGTGTCATTCAGAGCGATGGTATTCATTGTTCGTTGTTGTAAAAGCATTAGTGGATTGTATTGGATCAGTTTAAATGTGTACTTAGAATAAGTAACAATACTTAATATGGTGTATGATGTTGAAATTGCTAAAGCTGTTCGAAACGAACGTCAGTAGCCACAAATTGACCAGCATTTGAAGACAGGGAAACTCCATAGTCCCACTTGAAGGCATTTTATTATAATTACGAATAAAGCCCTCAATAATAATGTGCAAACCAATTGTTGTTTCAAAACAATATATCACAGTATTGTTAGATGTTCCAGTTTTAATCGGTTTACTGAAAATTTCAATGTTAGTAGCAAAAATTGATCAATTATTATGATAGCAGTCAGGGAATAGAGAATACTATCGTCAAATGATGTTAGTTCATAATTATTTTTAATCGAAAGGCTGATATGTTGCTTCGGTTCGACGTTAGTTTATTGTTTTGGTGAAGAAAAACGAAGATGCCCCCCTCCAAGATCCACACGACACTAATCAGTAGTGATGCAATACTTTTCATGTTATATTTAGTGAAATGTTATTTTTTCATTCAATTCGGAATATTGTTTTATACCACTACGTGTCTATTACTTTATATATATCACTTTTATCATATAGTCGATTCATTCGCATTCCCGGTGGTAGCGGAAGCGTCGGGGAAAATGAAAAATGTTCTTTGTACAAATCTGATTATATTATTCTTGTACCATTGGGTATTGGTAGTTTACCTATTGGATTATGTCGTGAACTATTTGAAGTTATTACACCATCTCACTCAATGGTAAATAATAAGCCCTCTTCAATGTTCAAAGTAAGTAAGACTGTGTTTTTTCAAAATGTATAAATGATATTCACAATTAAAAAATTATGAATAGATTGTTGAGCAACACATCATGATAAATGGAATTGCTAATGCTGCTATATACAAATTACCTGGTTAGGGTGAGGTCTGTATAATTACCACAATCAGTGGTTAGAGACTTAGAGTGACTTAATTCGGTATGTCTCACAGTGATACAGATGCATCCATTCTTATTTTAAACCTTCAGTTCCAGCATTTCATCATACATAACTTTTCATTTCGTCTTCTTGAAATATATACTTAATGCTTACTCTGTTCCGGTATCATTGATACTATCATTATTTCAATTCGTTTATTATTCGTTATGTTAATTTCATTTTGTTGTGCTGATGTGACATGGATATTTGAACTAACACATGTTTGTACCAGTCTCTATGTTGCGTATGACTGACTAACTTATTAATGAGGCTCAACTAATAACCGTTGAATTACTAGTATCACTGATATCTTCAAATTATCAGTCTCGTGTATGGTGGAAAATTCAAATTAGCAATATTGATGTTGTAAATATTAGGTGGTAGCTAAGTAAAAATGACGACTCGACTGATACGGCTGTAAGTTCTCACCGATTGAAATGGTTTAGACAAATGCAACGTAACCTTAACGAGTGACTTATCTCTGTGCTCAGTGCTGCGTTGTGTCAGATTAGACCACAAAAAAGAGCACCGAAAACCATATAATCTTTTTTTGTACCATGTTAGCAGATCTATAAACCATCTAGTGTGTCAGCATAATAATCATGATCAGGGATTGCAGATGTTTTGTAGTAGTGATGTGGCTCAGTATCTATCCTGGTGGTGTAGATCCATTTATCTGCTATCTTCCTATAGGTCTTGGATTTTAATGGTACTTCGCTCCTACTTTTCTATTTATATTCTCTGTTTAGTCTTTTTTTAAATCTAATTTTAAATATTACAGTTACTCCAACTTTTTGTCTATCGTTCATCTTTTTACTTTCCCAACTTAGTGTACTGATGTAGTTTTGGCAACTTGAACCGATACATTTTTCCGTGGTTGGTCCTACACTGGTTATGGTTGACTAACTGGATTATCTATTGATGATATTATTTTGTTAGTACGAATGATTTGTGGCGATTGTTAACTTTCTTATTTTCTTCATGAAGTAACCTTAGATAACCATCAAGAAACACGATGGACTAGACGGTTGTTTCTTACTAAAATGAGACACCTCAATATTTCACACCCACGATCGTATCATGGATCGGACCAATGAAATTCAAGCCTCTCAATGATCTCTTAGCCTTTAAACAACTGAATTGAGAACCAAAGGGTTTAAATTTTAATTTTCTGCCTTTTTTCTATCACTCTGTCTCTCCGTCAAATCTCACTACAGTCACTAGTTTCATTCTTCCAGCTGTTGTGAGAATGTGAAAGAAAGTCATAATTTAGGTGTTTACATTTAAAGTTTTCCCCTTCTTTTTTAGACTAGATTTTTCATGATTAAATACTTGATACTAGATAGTAAACATCAGATGTCCAGTCCTTCTTTATTTTTGATAATTGTATAACCAAACTCCAATCCATAATATAAACTACATGTTTTCTGTAAAATATACTTATTTCGGATACTTCTTAAAAGTCAGTTTTTATGACGTCCTATCATCCTGACTAGTTTTAACGACCATTATTATTATTATTAATAGTATTGGTAGTGGTATCGTTTTTAGTGTTTTTCCTGTTGCACTACATAGTAACTTGATAAATGGGTTTTCCTTCATCCAGCGTTTCTTTTTCTCCTTCCAAATGTTCATAATCTAGCTAAAAATCATTACCAGTGGCTTCAGTGGTGGCCAAGGCGGATTATCAAGTCTTCTACCCATGGATATGTAATAATACTAAGTATTAGTATTATACATTTTCAACTGGTCATTATTTCTTTGGCACACCTACCTACTATTTTAGTTGGAGGCAGGTTTCCTCTGGGTGTGCACACTTTTTACTTTGCCTCAAATATGTCTGTATTTTTTTAATCTGTCGATCTTTTGAATAATTTGTTCTTTTATGTATACGATTGATTTACAAAAGAAGGGACAATGATAATAATATTAATATACCTTTTTTATTTGTCTTTTATTTTGCTAATGAGAATAATTAAAACTACAATATTTTCTTTTCGAATCATGGTAATGTGTGTTGTCAATGCAGTCGAAGAGATTACGACTGTAAACATTCCCCAACTAGTGGAAAGTTATTTGGCAATTTTAGTATAATATAGGTTTATTTACTCCAAGAATTGACATATATATATATATATATATATATATATATATATATATAATATCAGAAGGGTTTTGTGAATATTGTAATGATTTCAATGGTTGAGATCATGAGTTAATTGAGGCTAGACCACCATGGAAATCCTGGAAGCACTGGACGGCCGTTTCGTCCTATTGTGGGACTCCTCAGCAGTGCGCGTCCACGATCCCGCTCGCTGGATTCGAGCCCAGGGCCTTCAGTCTCGCGCGCGAACACTTAACCTACTGGACCACTGAGCCGGCATTCAACTTCCATATACCTACGTGATAAGATCACTAATCTATTGAGTCCACTTTACTGTAGTATTAGTAATGATGTCACTAATCTCTGGTCACGATAACCCCACATCCTAATCAGGTGGCCTGCACCTGTCTACACGACTTTATAACTTTTGGCTGCTTCCAACGTTCTTCCAGCATATACCACCAAACATCATGCTTTGGCGTATGTTATGGTTAGGCATATCCAGGCATCGAACATAAAGTGTGGTTACCAAGTGACCTAAATAAAAGTTGAATACAAGACAAGAAGAAACAAATGAATGACAATACTGTGCAATGGAATGCTGTGCAGGGATTTTCAGCGTTTTATTTCCATTAAAATTAGTCTAAATGATTCAGTATTACGATCTGCAGTGAGGAGGCTGGGGACAATTGTATGGAAACTTCTTACTTAGATGCCGTGTTGGTTATCAGTTATTATTAAGATGTGTTTACATACTTGAAAGAAGTAGTTTTTTTTATGGAACTTGTAAACCCACCACCTAATGTCATAATCAGAAACATACAACATTACTGACAGGATATTCATTCAATACACACCATGTTTTATTACTGAATCCCAAAACGCATTTCGTCAATTCCTACATTTATCTAGTCCTTGAATGGGTTGAGCCGAAAAACACTTTTCTCAAACCCTCTATCCTAATAATGTCACTATTGGTTTGAAGGATACTAAATGTTTGGAGTATAACAATATCAGGAATGAAACAGATAGCAGAAAGTGTATTGGATGATACTTCGGAAATTGTGTAAAGTTGAAGAATGCTACCTTCAAACTATTCGTTTTGCTGATAAAGTCATGTATATACACTAATAAGAAGTGTTAAAATATACTCAAACAACTATATAATGCTCACTGATCTTTAGCAGTACACCAACTAAGATTTATCAATGATAAATACAAAAATCTGTCTCAACTATCATTTAACATTCTCCATGATTTCTTTTTATTTTACCATAGAAGTTTTGTAACCTAATTGATTAATTTAAACAAGTAAATTGGAAAAGAAAAAGACATAATACTGTTGTAACCAAGGGATCTTTCTTTCTTCCCCTCTCTCTCTCTCTGCGATTACTAATATAATCAAAATAATTATCCTCACTGAATATTGTCAATTCATTTGTTTATTTCTTTTTAAGGCATAGATACCAGCATATTTTATAGTAACATATAGTTCTGTCTAAAAATTCTTTCCGTCATTATCATTATTCAAAGTTCCTTGTATTCTTTTTTTGAATACTAATAATCAAAATGATGATGGTGATTTTGATTATTCCAGTTTGAACAAGTAAAGAAGGAGTAAATAATGATACCGAAAAACTAAAAGAGGACAGATATACGATTTAGGTAAGATACAAAGGTTAATGAAAATAATAATTCAGAAAATCATAACAATGATCCCATGCTAAAAGTTACAATATTGATATAATCCCATCTTAGAATATATTTCATCCCCTAAATGCCGTGGTACTGCCGAGAGTGCTCGAAATGCTCTCACATGGCCACGCGTATATAGCCTCTGACAGGGAAGTCCTATTCACTGCCTTCTCGTGGCGGGGGTGTTGTTTACGAAATTGAGAGGACGAAAAGCGAGTGTCCGACGCTTTAACCGGGTTGGTGGATATGGAGAGTCCACCTAGGGGAGTTGAAAAACCCTGATTCCAAACTAATGGTGTACATGGGCTCTAATACCCTGAGGGAACAAATGTCGTATGAACCAATTATCGATCGGCTACCATGGGACTGCATCTCCTTACGATGCTCCACTGCATTATGGATTAGACCTCTAGTTCAAAGAGTTAGGTAGTGACCATTTAAGACAACCACCTGCTTCGGTTTGGGCACTCGGGCAGTATCACAGCCCTCACACAAATCAATTGAGATCTGTGTGGCGCATATGTATTTGGTGCCTCCTTGTACCAATATCTATGTGTTAAAATAAAATATAATAATCCTGAAAATATATTAAAATATGTTTCAACTGTTAATCAAATTTGAATGCAATACATTTCCAACTTTTTTCACATGATGTAATATGTATATATTCTAGTGTAATCTGATGTCGACTCTCCAAAGCATAGGCAAGAAGAAAAATATCCAAACCATTATGATATCTTATAGTCAGTATAGGGATTTGTGGAGATCGTGGTATTTTCAAAGTTCATTTCACGAGTTGATCTAAGCTAGATCACTATTTGAAATATTGAACAGCCGTTCTGTCCTAGTATGAGACTCCTCAGTAGTGCGCTTCATGCTTTCACATGAAGGATGAAACGGCCATCCAGTGCTTCCAGGTTTTTAAGAGTGATCTAGCTTAGATCGACTAGTGAATTCATCTTTGAAAATATATTATAGCATTTAATATCACATTACGTTATCGATTAACTACAAAACCTCACGAATACATTTGTTTTTACCTTACGTGCATAATCAACTTTTAAAATAAGTTTAGAATATGAGAATTCCTCGAAAAACCTGCATAGTTACAAAACAGCCATAGCAAAAATTTGAGTGGGCTAGGCACAATTATTATGACTTCACAAGGAAGAAAACAATAACTTTATTATTCTACGGGGATCGTGAAAATTAGTAAATTTTGTAGTTGACATAACGAACTGATTTTGATTAACCAACTACTGTGAACCAGGAAGCACTGAAATGCCTTTCCCTCCTAATATGGTACCACCCAGCAGTGCACACACATGGTTCCGCCAGTGTTCAAATCCAGGACTTCTGGTTTCACTGCCAGTACTTAACCTTTGATCCAATAAGCAGGTATTTAATGCTTTATACGTTTAGTTAATGGTGCTCTGCCATGCCGAGTACAGTTAATCACTAGTGTGATTCGAAGATGATTGGTTGAAATTAAATGTTTAAACCATTGGATGCCAGATCAATGGTCTAAAGATAAGATTTTCACCTCGAGATCAAGGGTCCTAGATTCTGTCTTCGATAGGATCATGGCTAATCATTACTAAGGAGTCCTTACTTGGACTGTACGTTTGTCCAGCTCTTTCTGGTTCCCAGCGGTTGTCTAACTAAGGTCAACCCGTGATATACATATTTGCTGATTGATATTTAATAAAAAATATAATAACAAATACACTACTTAATAGTTAGTTATTTACTGACCTGCCACATAGCTAAACAGATGCTAACAAATGCAATACGAAATTGACCGGATTTTGTCGTGCCAATAACTTTCGTTAAACATCCCTAATTGAATGAATTATTAATTACACTGTTAATGACAATAATAATCCTAAAAAATTGAACATACCTTCTTTTCAATTGGTTTCATTCCACATGCAATAATTGGTTTACGATCTAACAAATCTTCAACATTTAATTTACCACAGCAATCAAACTACAAAAGGATAATTATTGTTACTATCAGAATGGTGATTTTAAAATATTGAATCCCTAGAGAAAAGAAATAGCAATTCATACCCATTACATTAAGCTAATGGCTATCTGGACGCAGCCGGTCAGTGGATAACAAGCTGGGTTTTAAAACCAAAGACAATTGATTTGAGCCTTGGAGTAAACATTAACACTGGGATATGACAAGTACATCTGGTTAACGAGTCACGAACACAATGAAATGCGCGTCTTGGATTCTGCTTCTAGCCACTAACTAAATTTGATAGATAGCATTATTTTTGTGAGGATTCATATGGTGTACTTCCCTTGGTTTTAATATTTCAAGCCAGATAGACTTCTCTTCTGGTCACCATCAAATGTTAGATTGTGTAATAAATATTTCCTTTTGAATTTTACAATTGAGAACTTAATTTACCATGCAAATGATTATTGAGTTAAATATGTATTGGGTTGCATAAGCATCTCAATGATGAACATTAAGTGTTCAACTGAAGAATTTCGTGAATTCACTAATCACTAAGTTACGAAGCGGTTAAAGTTTTTCATTTGATGTAAAGCGAAATACAATGCTGCATAATAAGGCATTCACAATTTATTAGAAAGATAATACAGAATATGAAACATGTGTAGATATTATTGGTAAATTAATTTGTTTACTTTAGCTTTCTATTTTGACAGTAAGATAAGATGCCTTGAAACTAGGTTTTGTATCTCTCGACGTTCATCATCTCGGTAGAACTGGTCGTTTTCATGTGGATCGAAGCCACATAACTCAACCTTTCAGTCAAATGTGTTACCCTTTATTAGTGGCTACTTGACAAGTTGAATGATACAGTTTGATCAGAACTAAAGACTAGACATCAGTGGCTTTTGTGATAACTCATTAACCAGTTAGTTCTTTTTAAAATCACTGTTAATGATATAGCACTAACGACATAAATATAACTCAGACTTTTACCACTCTAATACTTTTGTTTTTGAAACTTCCTGTTTGTTTCCATAGACAATCAAATATTGAATGCACTGTATTAATGTTTCATAGTTTTTGGTTGTATATATCTATTTTGTTTATCATTTGAAATGTCTGATTATGAAGAGGATTTTTTCAAACTAGTGAGTAACTTAGACAAGCGCTCCATTAGCTAGATGACAGGTCTTACAAAAAAAAATTTTCTTCTGATAAATACTAAAAACACCCTTTACTAAGAACAAAGAACAAAAAAACTCTGGAAGGATTGGATAACTGTTTCATCTTAGGTTTGAAATCTCCAGCAGTGTTAATATACAATGTAATGAAAATTGTGCTTATATTTAAAAAATAAACACTTTGAAGTCACTGCACTGGATGATACTTATGAGCTTAGTAATGATTGTCATTGAAATATAGTTCCTGAAGTCTTAGAAGAAAGTTATGATCTGTGAATTCAACAAAGTTATCAGTTAGATGAGTACTTACAGAAAACAGTGAATGAAGATGGTACTGCGTGCAATGTAACTGACGTTGGTATTTTAAAATAACAGATTATAACTTGGTATACTAAGTGTGTTGTGTATTTAGTTCTAGATTTGAGGGTTGTGTATTTCATTCCCTAAGGAGTGAAGATTGTAGATCATTAAGGATGAATCATCTATTCACTTGTTAGTAATCTTAAGTCTCCAGAAAATCACTTATTTACCAGTTTATTTTGTTACTTTAAGTATATACATTTTTTTGTTTTCATTTTTTACTTAGTCAAAGGAACCAATCCCCATATTTACAACGACTAAATGATTTCTTTTTTTATTGGGTAGTTACTCTTTTTACTAAACTGATTCCCTGTCCTGCTTTCAAAGTCACCGTACCTATATTCATACTTCCATTCTGTCTAATTCATTCTTTATCAAAATAAACCTGTATTTTTTTGTAATCCTTGTCATTTAAAATAGCTGGAACTAGGAGAGAAATAAGAATAATGGTTTCCATGTATCAATATTCTACAGTACTTGATGACTTTCCAGTTGTTTGATATTTAAAAAAAAGAAAATTTATGTTCATATTACTCACTTTATATTGAATGTAATTGAGAAATTTAGTTTCATCATTCACCATTAAACGTTTCTCATCATAATTTTTTAGTAAATTATCAAACATTTCATTTAGCTCAATGTGTATCTAAAAGAATGTTAAATTAAATGATGTTGATAAAGATCAATGTTACAGTATTAAAGTAATATAAAAATTTCACAAGTTGAAATCATGAGCCAATTGAAGCTAGACCACCATGGAAAACCTGGAAGCACTGGACGGCCGTTTCGTCCTAGTATGGGACTCCTCAGCAGTGCGCATCCACGAACCCGCCCCCCGTGGGATTCGAACCCATGATTTCAACTTGTGAAATTTCTAAAAATCTCCACAAAACCCATTCTGAAATAATAATAATCACTTTCTCACTAGTGACTGACTTCAGGAGACACTCCTGGAGTCCTAGTGAGAAGTCGTTACCAGTGGAGTTCAACCAGGTCTGTTGTGAGATAGGAACTCACTGAAGACAATGGTGTACGGCGGCACAACTTCGTGGATTGGTTGAAGTTAGACATTAACACCATTGGATGCCGGCTCAGTGGTCTAATGGTTAAGAGCTCGCGCGCGGAGCCAGTGGGTCCTGGGTTCGAATCCCGCGTGGTGCGGGATCGTGGATGCGCACTGCTGAGGAGTCCCATACTAGGACGAAACGGCCGTCCAGTGCTTCCAGGTTTTCCATGGTGGTCTAGCTTCAATTGGCTCATGATTTCAACTTGTGAAATTTCTAAAAAATCTCCACAAAACCCATTCTGATAATCTAAAAATTGTTTTATAAACAAGTTCAACTTTATTCTTGTTGGTTGAATGATATTTTATAAATTGGTTACTTATTTAAGTAAAGATAGATAATGGCTAGCGGTGGAATCTAGGATATGGGTTTCATGACTTTAAGTAATATCGAGGCAGTCCACACAGAATGCATATATACCAACAACAGACTGATCAATTGCAATCCTAAATAACAATGGGAAGATATAAATAAACAACACGAAGTGAATATAACTTCACCCCATTGCACAAGCAGGTGGCCATCAGGGCTCAGTAGCTAAAAGGATAACGCGATGGAGTTTGAAGCGAACGGTGCTGGGTTCGAGTCCCAGGGTGGACATCATCTCTGCGATGCACGTACACCCAGCTGGTGAGTCCCAAATGGGACTAAACGCGCGTCCTGGATTCCATTTCTAGCCACTATTCATCTTTGATCATAATGCTTGTGACTTCAGGCAATATCGAGGCAGTCCGCACAGGATACACATATGCCAACAAGAGACTGATCAATTGCGGACCTAAATAACAATGGGTTGATACAAGTAAAAACATCAAGTGGTTACTGATTTGTTATCTCAACTTTCAACATGTTGTTGGATTAATATACATAAATTTGTAGTGTATATAATGATCAGTCAGTAAAAAAGGATGGTATACATACTAGCTATTCAGAATTGAGAAAATGACTCTTGAGATTTTGCTCACAATTCAAATGTTATGTATAATGAGCATTAAAAACAATTTTGTCAGCGATACAATTTTCTACTCATTGGTGTATCTCCAAATATATTTTCTACTAACTTTTGTACATTGTTCAAAATATTTAAAATGATAATTGAAAATTACTTTTTTCTACCCCAAATTCTGTCCCTATAGATTGCATATGTGTGATAATTAGGAGTATTTGAATTATAGTACGAACTAAGAATCCCAGAAATAACATAATCGGATCAAGAAGTACTAGATAAGCATGAACGAATGTACTGTATTTGGAATTCGAAATCAAGCATTCAACAAGTACAAAAGAATCATTAGTTCATTCGAACACCACATCCGCCACAGCTTAAATTGGAATCTAGGTGTCTGTCATTGATTGTACGTCTTCTTCTTAAGTTTATTCTGTGTCTGTCTAACAGTGTATTGGATAAAGACTCTGTATTGTCTGCTTCCTGTGATTGAGTACTGAAACTACGGCTATCTAGAATTTGAACTATAGACTTTCAGACTATCCTCCCCTACGAAATAATGTTGGATCTTCATATCCCCAAGTTATGAATGATGTGGCTTCATTTAAAACATATTTCTCACATTGGTTAAAGTAAACATTAGAAGTGACTTCGTGATAAGGATAAACAGCAGTCGATATGAAATCATCCGAACTGTAATCAAAATCGAGGTTATTTAGTACTGGTGGTTCGCATTGGACAAGATTCCCACAAGAAACAAATGCATTATGAGGACAAATAATATTTGATACGACATCAAGATTTGTTTTTTCTGAAATACTTTCCTCAAATTTATTATGAATGTCATTGCAGAGTAAAGGATCATTAGAAAGATCACCATCTATCAACACTGCATCAGGTTTCCGATCAAGATTAGATTCACTCAACATATTTTCCTCAGATTTGTAAGAACTTTCATCAGGAATATGTGAATCATTAAGACAAACTATATCTGGTACATAACATGATAGATCTGATAAGAAGTTGGTAGATTAGAAACTGTTGTCTCACAAGAATTCTGAGTTTTATTTAACTCCGAACTTCTATATGACTCTACATTGTCTTTTGAAATCGTTGATAAGGATAAATGATCATTACGAACACTGGACTTAATAGAATCAGAGGCGCAACTCCAATTTATGGACGACCTTTGAGCGAATCTTAAGTGACCTTGAGAATATGAGCCAATCAGCGTACAGTAAGTACAGAGTAAAAATATATTATACAAAACCAAGGAAATAAAGTGGATACACTTCTTATACGTGCTTCCAAAAGGTTAGAAAGAGTTTCTAAATTAGTAATCCATGCAGTTTAGAAAATCATAGATTCGGCTACAGAATAGCTGGCCTCCGGAGCCATGATAAAGTGCCAAAAACTCTTTCAGCCTCGATCACATAGTTTCTATATTGTTTATGTGCACTTCGGTTGTTGAGTACACAAAATGCTACTTGTGGATAACGACATGATGCACTTAACCAAGCCTATGTAGGAGTCTGTACGCTCTCCAAGCATCGTATATATTGTAGTACCTGGCTGCAGCCAGTGTTACTGGTGCTCTTATTATCCAGTTCGCAATAATTGTCGTAATTTGCCTCAGTTAGGAATTATATATGGGGTTTTCATCACGAACTGACATCAGCTATAATGTCAAAACCCTATTTAACCAAATGGATAAAAGACTTTCGCTCCAAAATCTGCGATCTATTATCTTTTACCTGATTGATTCCTCCACAAATTATAGTCTTGCCGTTTTATTTGTCATAGTCGCTAAATTAACACCTTTTGAACAAAATTTCTTGCGAACCCATCGTACGTTAGCATTAATCCCTGAAGTTGGCGTCGTAACCTTGAAGTCTCTAAAACGCTTCTGATTGGCTCGTCCATAAATTAGAGTCTAGCCGAATCAGAATTAAAAGACTTAATATTAGTTGCAATAAGATGAACATTAGTATTACAGACTGACTGAATATGTCCAATATCACCAGATTTAAAGCACATAGAATTACGAAATTTACATGAATTAAAAGAGTGGAACTTGCCACAGGACAAACACTGACCAAACTTATGCCCATCTTCGTGAAATGCATTGCAACTCTTCAATGAATTATCTGTATGTCCTTGAGTATGCACTGGGTTGGGATGACGTAAGCTAGTGGAATTTCTTAGATCCTTGTGAATCATTTTACGAAATCTCCCTTTACCGCAATCGAAATTTGTATAATTAACATAATCTAGCAGTAATTCCTTGAGAGCAGTATAAGGAAGCGAAATGGGCTTTTCCGGTAAAGCCAGAGTTTTTAGTAACTTATATGCTTCTTTTCCGATGAATATGAGGAAATGTGCTACAATATTAACATCCTCATCATCTTCCTTGGTCATAGCCGAGATTTCGAACCTTTCAAAATAATCCTCAAAAGCATCTAAATCTGAATGTATATCCAACAATTCCATCACAGGCTCCATCGCGACGCCAATATGATGATTAGGAGTATTTGAATTATAGTATGACCTAAGAATTCCAGAAATAGCGTAATCGGATCAAGAAGTACTACATAGGCACGAACAAATGTACTGTATTTGGAATTCGAAATCAAGCATTCAACAAGTACAAAAGAATCATTAGTTCATTCAAACACCACAATATGACAAAGGGAATCTACACTATCGTTAAATTCTAACCTAAAATCCTAATGCTGAATAAACCTTAACCTGATGGCACTATATTTTATGAATGAACTTATCAGATATCGCTTCTTAATTTGTTGTGCTAAATGTATCTATACATTTGTCTACAGAGCAGTTTCCCCTTATTGCTGATGTTAGTTCATGATGGAAATCCTAAACATGAATCCCTAATTCTTGCCTTAAATCCCTAACACTATTAACTGCCGGCTCAGTGGTCTAAAGGTTAAGTGTTCATACGCGAGAACAAAGGTCTGGGGTCTGGACCCCGTATGTGGGTTCGTGGATGCACGCTGCTGAGTCCCATACTAGGACGAAGCGACCATCTAGTGCTTCCATGTTTTCAATGATGGTCTAACATTGATCGATTCATGATCTCAATCAAAAAATCCTAGAAATCTATTTCAAGCCTTTTATATTCTGGCGAAAATAAATAATCGATATCCATGGGGACGAGTTTTTATGTTGTTATTTTTCGTTTTACAGGCAGATTAACTCGTAGAAGATTTTAGCTAATCTATTAAATATATGAAATCTGTCTATGCATTGTAGTATTATTATTTCCTTATCTACAAACTATCCATTTAACAAAGTAATTGTTCCTTGATTTACTATGAACTGGTTGAAAATTCGTTTCGGTTATTTTTATGTTTGTCTCTGTATTACACCCTTATTACTTCTATATTGTATAATATGAAATGAGAAGTTGAAATCAATTTGTATAGTGTTAAGAGTACTACTCTTTGTAAATTCTTACTAGGGTTCAAGAAAACGGATGATTTATATCCATCTGAATGAATTTATATATCATTGTTTTATTGATTTGTTGCAGTTAGGAAAACCCATAGAAAACTTCAGTAAATTTATTAAATATTATGTAAAAATCTTCAAAAATAGTTTTAGGGATTTTTTATAATTATGGCAAGACTATAATTTATGAACGAGCTAATCAGAAGCGCTTGAGGGATTTCAAGGTCACGACGCCAATTTCAGTACCTGATGCTCATGTACAATCGGTTCACAGAGGACTTTTAGAGAAAACATGATAATTGAGCGGCTATAATAAATGGAACTATTAAGAAGTTACTTTATTTGTGATTGTGGTAATCAAATGACTTATGGACGTCGTGCAGACTACCGTGATGATGTTGTCTTTCGATGTAGCATATGTTGGAGGAAGAAGTCTGCTAGAAAAGGAACTTTTTCCGCACGATCCAAATTGAGACTAAAGCAAATTATAGTAATTGTTACGAACTGTATAACATGAGCACCAGTAATAAAAAATGACAAGTTTACACAACCGGAGTGAACACAAACAATACTGAAGCTATGTGGTCGAAGCAGAGAGAGTTTTTGCGACCTTATCGTGGATCTAGAGGCCTACTACTAACGAGCTATATTGATGAGTTCCTATATCACATGTATTACGATATTAGAACCTCTGAACCTCTTCCTAACATTGGAAAGTTTTTGAATCATGTAAAAGAAATGAATAATATATTTCTACTCTATACTAACTGTTTCCTGATTGGCTAATATTTCTCAAAGTCACTTAAGATTCGTTCAAACGTCGTCCATAAATTGTAGTCTCACCATAATTATTTTACCATTTAGTCAACAATCGATTTAAATTTGTCCAAGTTACTTTTAAGTTAATCTTTATAACATACACTTACCTGACTTACCTTGAGAACTGTATACTCTAACGTTTATTTATGCAATTTTGTTACAAAAACAATATTCCGAATTATCATTCATACAATGTAGTGTCAGTTACTATGTTAAGCCAATATAACTTATTCTAGCTTCTGGACAGTCCAATTTATTCATTCTTCTTTAGTCACGTTTTAAGCTTGTTAATTATTCACTTATCAACCTTAACTGTTTTTATATGAGCGTATGTGTACATTTCTTATTCTATTCATCACATGTCAGTAGCTTATTTTTGTGTGAGTATAAATGGTGATTAACGCTTGATTAAATCGAGTTGGGTCACACACCTCCACTGCGCGTCATTTCGCTTCCATCTCTTCCCTTAGCTTTCTTTGGTCGTTTGTCGCGATCAACAATTGTACGAAATATACATATTCAAAAATCCATTCTCGTATTTGACTTATTGAATACCGTTATTTACTAATGCGAGTTAAGTCGATAATTATATACGAGGATTGGGGATATGTATATCTCAATAGCAATTAAAAACGATCAAACTGGAGTCAGATATAAATCATGAGTCAATTGAAGCTAGACCACCATGGAAAACCTGGAAGCACTGGACGGTCGTTTCGTCCTAGTACGGGACTCTTCGGCAGTGCGCATCCACGATACCACACCCCGCGAGACTTGAACCCAGGACCTGTCAGTCTCGCGCCAGTTGCTTAACCAACTAGACCACTGAGCCGGCATCCAATGGTGTTAATGTCTAACACTAACCAATCCACGAAGTTGCACCACCGTACACCATTGTCTTTAGTGAGTTCCTATCTCACAACAGACCTGGTTCAACTCCACTGGTAACAGCTTCTCACTAGAACTCCAGAAGTATCTCTTGAAGTCAGTTACTAGTGAGCAGATGATTATTATCAGAAGAGGTTTTGTGGAGACTGCGCACTGCTGAGGAGTCCCATACTAGGACGAAACGACAGTCCGGTGCTTCCAGGTTTTCCATGGTGGTCTAGATTCAATTGACTCATGATTTCAATCTGTGAAATTTCTAAAATCTCCACAAACCCCTTCTGATTATTTAATCAATCAAACATAAACTGTAATCATGTAACTATATTATTAAATTTAAATGATATCAAAATAAACTTACATTTTCAGAATATTTTGATGACCATATTCCACAACTAAGTAGACAAATTCCATTAAGTACCAGAATAATACAAAACTTATAATGAAAAAGACAGAAATTAATTTGTTAAAAGATTATACCTCAACAGAGACTGGTAAAAATTACAGTTTGGGATATCAATAACAGGAAAAATGCCCAATAATTTAGTGTATCAGTTATTGATTTGTATGAAAGAAAGAGAGAGGGAGAGGAAGATAGTCGGTATTGGTAAATATGGTAAATTAAAATATAATTATCACTTTTATAAGCAACTTTCTTTACGCTTTACTAATAGATCATAACTTCTAGAATCAATCAAGGCGGAAAAGTGACAGTAATTCGTTCATAAATGGAAATATATAAACCGCTGAAATTTGATATAGTTGTGTCATATATGTTATTATTTATAGATATCTCAGGTTTAGTTCAATTTAGCGTCGTTAATAGACCTTACTTAACATTGGTAATCAAGATTTACATTTTATAATTTAACTTACATTATTTGATCATTTTGTGTAAATCTTGTAGCTGAATTCAAGTGGTTGGAGGTCATCGACAGGAATCCCTGTTGAATCTAGTTTTCGTGTTAGCAAAGCGTACTGATAATTCGAGACAGTCCGTATTACCTAGCTTCACAGTCTGAGACATCATCTCTAACCCTCTGCAAGACTGAGGTATTTATAATTGATCGGACTTTGTGTACTAATCAGTGTCGTGCTTGCCTAATCTTCAGTTCTTATGGAATTCTATTTATCAAATTGCGATAGGCACATTGGTAAAATTGTATCGGTCACTACGTAATTTTTTTTGAATTTAGATTACTGGGGAAACTTTACACATAGTTCTCATACTAGTTAAACTTCATTAGTCCGGTATTTTTACAGTTTAGAACACCACTCTTTCTGAGAGGTCATGTTGCGTTCTTACAGTCAGTAACAACGTAGAACTTCGTACGTGCGTACATCAGTTCTATTTACCACACCACATTAGCACAGAGATGCAGTTGTCGATTCAAATCCCGTAGTGATAGACTGGCACAATCAGTGATTGAGGCCAGTCATACGTTCTTACACGTATTAAGTAAATAAATTGAAGACTTTCAAAAATAATCTCATATTTCTGTGTTCATTTTCAAGCTTCATGATCTGAGAAAATGTATCCCTAAACTAACAATAGTCTGTAGTGATTCTGTGTAGCTACAAATTGATAAAAATAAGTGCTTTAACGACACATCCGATTTCTATCTACATATACAACTTATTCTATTTGATTAAAATACAAAATGTTTATCCAGATGCATTCATGATTACGATTTCACATTTTCATTATAAGCTGAAGAAAAAGGCGAAAGTACTTATGATCTCTGATGCTTTCCGTGCAATACAATCCTTCTTTTATATATCACTACCATTGAAGTAACTACTACTATGAATTTGGTGTTCATCTTGTTGTGCTAATCAGATGCGGTAAATCGAACCGATGCATATATATATATATATATATATATATATATATATATATATATATATATATATATATATTATTTAATTAACTTTTCAAGCACTGACTCACTATCCAGATAACTATCATGGAAGCAAATTTGCGAAAGCCATCCGTACCCACAATTCTAATGACATATTTGAATTTACGAAAATTATACACGAACATCATCTAGAAGTTATCAACACTCAACCAAAACCTTAAATAAACTAAAAGCTTCACTGACTTGAAAAATCCCACTAAAAGCTTCAATGAGTAAAAAATATTCATAAAAGTAATAATGGATTAATCTGAAGATAATAAAACACTAAATGATGAAATAATTGAACAAGTCTTTTATAACATCCAGGTATCAATGAGATGTGCCAATATAGAATTGCGAATTGTTTTTATCTAGCCCCTGAGTTGGCCTTCTCAATGTGCATTTACAAATTCAGCTGCTCCTGTGGAGATAGTTATATCGGGCGTACTACCAGGCAACTTAACCAACGAATGAGTGAACATCTACCAGCTTGGTTTATAAAGGGCCAGATAAAAACAATTCGCAGTTCTAACTTGGCACATCTCATTTATAGCGATCATGCTGTAGATAAATCGAAATCATTTCGAGTGATCTATCGTATGCCTCCATCATTTCCCAACGGAGTTCGTTCCCGCCTCCTACATATAGCTGAAGCCATAGGAATTCGTACATATAATCCCAATTTATGTGTACAGAAGAAATTCGTAACATTCAGGTATGTTTAAAATAACGGAAATGACATTAAGTTAAATACATGATTGATGTAATCTAATATTTATGACGTAATTTTTTCTTATGAACACAGTTCATATACATGTTGAACAGACTATGTTTATCATAATATAAAATCGATCGAGGCGGCCTGTTTGAATATCTAGACTACCCGTTCCTGCCATCCGGTTATTTCAACAAGTTATCTGTTTTCTTGTTTGCTTTAACACATCATTATGCCTTGTAGTCACATAACCTATTCAGATGCGTTCGTGAAAAGTTTACAACATTTCACAGTACAAGTAACTAAAGAGTCCAATCAGAGACATCGTGGTTGCTAGCTATATTAATCGAAAAGAATATACATTATTCAGATGTCGAGTCCTGAACTATTAACATCTAACTGGCGACCACTTAATATTTATTCCAAGGATCGATCAAGAAATAAGAAAAGGAAACTTGTTGAGATATCTTTTTGCTGAGAATTCTATATTGTACCAAAAATATAATAATGAGTAAAGCCACTAATAATAGTAATAATAATATTAATAAACAATAAAGATACTTTATATTCTAAGTGATTACATTGAAGTATTCATATTGCTATTATTATTAAAACAAAATAATTGAATTGGATGCAACGATTGAACTTACTGATATTGATATACCTCTTGATCTTGGCAGGATCCCAGCCCAACCAAATGGACTAGATATTAGAATAATTATCCCACATGAACATATCATATAAGATCCTAGTTTAAAAGAAGGAATACCAGTGATCAATACTAAACTATTTTAGAAATTAGGTAACATTTTATAATCATAAATTTATATGAAAGGAAAATAAAAATAGTTTTAGGTTTGATGAGATATGATGAATTAGTTTCATTTGAAATATAAAGATTTTCCTTCGACTAAATTAACTGAATCTGAAAGATTTTATGTAAGATTGAAATATATAAATTAGATTTTACTAGTGGTCATCACAAATTGTTCCAATGTTAATGTAATTATCCAACTAATTTCATTGTCAGAAGATACAGACTTATCAGTTGATTGATCAATGTGTAGTTACCAGTGTCGTTTTTTACTAGTCCATTTAGTGCTGAACAACTTCAGTCAATCTCAAAATACTACATGGAATGTTGGGTCACTACTATATTTGAAGCGATTACGAGTTCACCCAGTCTGAGAACGGAACAAAGACTCTGTGACCAAAAACCAATAAGCTAGCTATTCTGATGCGTCCCAGCCCCGTTAACTAGAGTGAGAAGTTCAAGTTCGAAGGATGAAATATATTCCGCAAGCAGCCAGAAGCACGAGCAATAACAACAAGGACAAATCAAACGTATATAAACAGCATAAAATTGTCGTTGGGTAGCGTTACAAAATAGTATACCAAAAGATACAACGAGCCAATAGTGTTTAAGATTCTCGCAACTGGGACATATGACATGAAGGTGAAAAGAGCGCTTTTGGCTTGAAAACAAAGAAACTTAAATTTTCAAAATAAAATTATGAAAAAAGGTATTTACCAAGTGAGTTCTGGGGATCTAACATCCCCAACAGTCACTCAAACTAGTGACCCCACTGAAGCTCAATTTAGAGAACTCAATCAGCACTTGAGGAATTGATAAACACAATATGATTGTTTGGTAATTAACCAGTAAAAATATTTCAGTCCGGTAGAATATCAGTTTTGGTTCAAATTGTTAGACGATAGTGTCTGTTTAGATGAGTGATGTGGGTTCGAACCCCATAGGATGCATAATTTCCCGTAAGATTCCAGGTATTCTTTGTGGATGGATCTTAATTAACATGATGTTTGGGTCAGGAATAATTTCCCATCGACTACCTCCAATCATCTAACACCTATCTATTAATCTATTAAATGACGTCAATTAATAAACTAGTATAAACTCCGTGAAGTTCATGACACCAGCGATAACCAAGCACAATCTTTTTTGAAATCAAACTTCAAACTTTCAGATCGTGATGATCAAAATAGAAAATACAATCGCTTTAAAAACATCCAGCACAAACAAACATATACACCATGAACTCACCAGTAAATAATCCAAAATCATATTTTCCTCGAAGAAAATGATAATCACTATAAGTGATTTCATAAATTCCAACACTTAAAGCAATACATCCTGTAATCTAAAATAGTAATTGTATATTAAAACTGGTTCATCATTTATAATAGTTTTGATATTTTAATTAAATATTCACTAATCATGTCAAATAATCCTCTTATCTTAATCAATACTTGTAAGAAGCCGTAACCAGTGGAGCTAATCCGTATCGGGCGTAAGGCAGTTACTCCCCGAAGACAGTGTAAGATGATTGCATGATCTTGTGGATTGAGTGAATTTAGACATTGACACCGTTGGATGCTGGTTCACTGTGCGCCAGACCGAAGATCTTGGGTTCGAGTCCTGCGTGTGGGATTGTGGATAGACTCCACTGAGGAGCCCCATACTAGAGTAGAATGGCTGCCCAGCGCTCTCAGATTTCCAATGGTGGTTTAACTTACATCGGGTCACCAGCTCAACAAAAGATTAATTACCCAGTAAAATGTATTGAATATAATTAAACAACGTAGAATCCATTTATTCCACAACATCACTTAGAAGAATAAAAAGCATCCGCCACTGCTACAAAAAATTGACAAATTCAATATATTAACGAACCATTTATTATTTACAATATCCATCATTACTACGAAATAGACCAATACAAATTAGGTACAATGATTGGAACAATATTTTATGAAGTCTTGGCAACAATAACAACAACAACAACTATAGGCTTTCTATGAATAGTAATCATCTTATTAACATGCATATATTTGGTCTAAAGAGAGGGGGGGTAAAGTGAAAAGGTTTGGCATGATGATTCGTAGATTAATGCATTGATGAAATGAATAAGTTATACATGCATTAAATAATTTTGTCAAACTATTGAATCATCTGTACACTTTGCATATATAGTTTATATTAGGTGCTTACTATTAGATATAGTCAATAGGATAATATTATTGATTAGTATAAAAGACTATGTAGCGTTGGGTCAAGATTAATATTTGGTGAATATTGATCATTTTAATCCAATGTGATACCTGACTGGATGACTTGAATATATTGTCTTAGAAACCGATAGATTGTTCACTAAAACAACTAAGTCACAGATTTTGGACCCTCTAACTTAGAAACAGTTAAGTAATATAATTATTTCTAGAGTAAATAATACAGATTATGACCAAGTGTGGTGTGGATTACTTATATCCATATAAGTAGTATATAATGGTGGTCAGGCATAGAATGTATTTCAGTAGATCGAGAAGGAAAGAACAGAAATGAAACGCAGTTGGCATGAAAATGCATGAACAATGAAATCTGAGACAATAGACTTATATTTGCAAATGGAACAGTCAAGTTTGAGACGATGGATTGGTATTTTGCAAATTTACTATTTACTATATGGTTCTCAGATTTTAGTGAGATGCTCTGTAAGTTTGTGGTCAAACACATTCAATTGTCCGCACTCATGTTCTTGTTCACCACATAAGTATATAAACCTTGACTAGCAATAATATACTGAACTGGTCTTTAGGCTTCATATGAATGATTAGAGTTCAATAGGATCACTATCCTAGTTCATATAACCAGACACATCGTGAAATAATGTATTTAAGCTCATTCTCCCTCTCACTCGTAGTTCAAATAGATTTAACTAATGAGAAATACACTATGCCTTGATCTGATTGATCATCGAAAAGTGACCAATGTACAGTTTTTTTAGTCTTTAATATTGATCGAATTATATCTATCAATATATAATGTGATCATTAATAAGTCATGATAACTTGGCATTGTGTTCACTGTGTTGCAATGCTTGATGGCTGGAAGAAGTCGGTAGAATGCTCAGCTTGGATTTTTGCTCCAAATTCATAACATGATAATGAACACCATGTATCTTGTTGAATACTCAATAAAACTTACCAATACTATTAAGGTTACGAACCGATCTAACTTAGACAATCATCGAAAAGCTGAAGGTACTGAACAGTTGTCTCATCCTAGTATTAAACTTTTCAGCAATGTGCATCCACAATCACACCACAGGGGACCTATTCCAGGAATTTCAGTCATGTGCACAAACGCTAAACCTCTAGACCACTAAACCGAGATCGGAGAGAACATAATTTATAGACAAACCAATGTGTATTTCCAAGAGAATCTCATAGTCAAAAGTCATATCAGTACCCACGACCCCAAAAACGGGATTGGTCTCTGATGTGAACATAAAAATAAAGAAGCCATTACAAACAACGAAAGCTATTCTTGGGAACATTATTTCACTTTACTCAAAGCTTGTAAAATACCGACATTTAGTTTTGTTACTGGTTATTTCAATAAATTGTAATCTTTTAATTAACACAGAATTTACTGTTACACCTTTTTCTATTCTAAAGTTTTCGTAATTTAAACGTAATTTTTTCTTCCTCATTTCCCTAGCACAAGGCTTATTTTGGACACAATTGTATTTTTCTAATCGTTTGTGCCTTGTGGTCGTATTAGTTATCTATTCATTGATATATCTTCTTACATTAATCGGAATCAGGAGTCAGAAACAAATCTACACGTGTTCTAGGTGACTCGTCTTCTCTCTCTCTCTCTCTCCCTCTCTTGTCAACCAGTAGTCTACATCCCTCTGTCCAAGGCCGTTAGTCTCAATTTGGACTCATGCAATTCTAGCCTTATGATTGAACCAGTCAACTTATCGTATCAAGGCCTTAACCTAGATCGAGACAAGTTCTCTTTTGCATATTATTGGGTAGACAGATCAAAGACGCAACATACCGACAGCTTTTAATTTATTACGGCAAGCATTTTACATTTAGTCCATTAAAGTAGTATTCCGTAATACACATTTCCAAGTGTTATGATGAGGCTGTTGATCAATGATTAAATTGTACTGCGAAAACTAGCGCTTTGTTTAAAGAAAACACTATAAAGGTGTTTAATCTCAGAATACTATGTGCTGATTCAGTCAAACGTTCAAATCTCGTCATAATTGTAGAGCCTTATTAAAGAGGAGTATACAAAAGATGTAATACAAATCATTTTGAGTAGGATAAACTGTATACAGCATTACTGATGGAGTGTTCTTTGTCTAAAAAAATGATGGGAGAAATTTTTGACGTTTACAGCTTAAAGAATTCCTTCATACAAATTAATTTCTTGTAACTTGGTTGCTTCTCGTTCAACCTTTTTATTGTTTATTTCATGTTACTTACTATTACTAAGTACAATTAAGTTAAATTAGAAAAAATGAAAACCACCTAAATACAAATATCCAATAATCTTGATCATGATTACAACAATTTAGCCACGATTTTCATTATGGATATTGATATAAGTTAAAATTCATTTTGGAAAGGAGATAAGGAACACCATAAGACTTTTTCGTTATCATTAGTGCACAAATATATACCGATAACATTGAATAACTCCAACTTACTGTTTGCTAAACATTAACTCTCATCATAAAACCTAACGTTAGACGTTTGATTCCGATCAGAGTCATAGGTGTGCAATGCTGAGAAAAAAACAGGAGTTTAGAGTTTTCTGACCATTGTTTACCATCATCTGAATTCTCAAAATAGCGCAGGCTGTGTCGAGTCAATTAGATTAGTGTCTATATTTTAAATTACGGGTAAAATTCAATCTGTATTAAAAGGACTAGATAAACAGTGTTCACTACTCAATAATCAATGTATCTTACTATTATAGGAGGTCAGTCACACCTCAAAAAATTCATTCGTAACACCTCAGACGACGAAACTAAATAATACTAGTTGAAGTCCTACAGAAATTACCAGTTTTCTCGAGATTTTAAGTACGCCTTATTGATGCATGTCAATAAATATGAATAGAGGTTCTTGTCTACTACTTTCAACCAGTTAACAGAAATCCAGAGTTTACTTATCTTTTCAATGGTTTCGATTTCATTTAAATCCGTGGTTTAAACTAACTTAAAGAATTCTTGAACCCTTCTAAAGGTAGGTAATCATCTAATCAGAAATGTGACAAGTGACTCTTCACTTTCTAGATGTTTCTGCGAAACTCAATAAAATAATTTTTTGTATTTTCAAGGCTCACTTATTCTTTTTTATAGGAATTTTTCAGGTCTCCCCAACCGGTTGGAAATACTTTTGTCATACACACACAAAAAGACGTTCATTTAAGTCAATTATATTTAATGACTACTACCGGTTATACCATAAATATGAAATTTTCTTGAGAATTCTAATACAACAAGGGGGTCTCATGTGAAATTCCTAGAGTCAGTTACACAGTCGGATACATCATACAAAAATCATACCTTTTAACTAAATGAATACGGAAAGGTCTGTAAAAATTATGCTTAAATCAGAGACCAACAAATTGTTCAATCAAATAGAAACACTAGAGATTAATAGAAAATAAATTAAGCGCTCGACTTTGAACATAGGTGATACGTTCATAGTAGAAAACGTATCAATTGACAGCGCAAATCATGAATACCAAATGAGGTGAACAATACTAATATAATCAGAATGGGTTTTTGGAGATTTGAGAAATTTCACAGATTGAAATCATGAGTCAATTGAAGCTAGGACGAAACGGCCGTCCAATGCTTCCAGGTTTTCCATGGTGGTCTAGCTTCAGCTGACTCATGATTTCAATCTGTGAAATTTCTCAAATCTCCACAAACCCCTTCTGATAAAAATCATCTGCTCACTAGTGACTGACTCCAAGAGATACTCCTGGAGTTCTAGTGAGAAGCCGTTACCAGTGGAGTTCAACCAGGTCTGTTGTGAGATATCAACTCACTGAAGACAATGGTGTACGGTGGTGCAACTTCGTGGATTGGTTGAAGTTAGACATTAACACCATTGGATGCCGGCTCAGTGGTCTAGTTGGTTAAGCAACTGGCGCGAGACTGACAGGTCCTGGGTTCAAGTCTCTCGGGGTGTGGGATCGTGGGTGCGCACTGCTGAAGAGTCCCATACTAGGACGAGACGGCCGTCTAGTGCTTCCAGATTTTCCATGGTGGTCTAGCTTCAATTAACTCATGATTTCAATCTGTGAAAATACTAATATAAGTAGGAAACAACAAACTGAAACAATGAAATAAAAGTACAAATATAGCAGAATAACAGTTCATTGCTATAAAAACTTACGTTTTGTCCAATTCGAGACCTAAAGATGACTGAATAAAAC